ATGACCCCCAAAAGATGTGACGCACAAGTGTAACACGTATTCTTTCCGCTACACTTTCTGGGGAAATTTAGGCGATCCGTTATTAATAAGCAAGTTTCCTCTCTAACGTTACCACAGAAACGCTTCCCGTAGAACATTCTTTTTTTTTTTCTCACAAAGTGTACGGGGAAACATTACGTATGTGTGGAACAATTCTACCTGACGCACCGTGTACCTCAGGTGTATCGTACAGATCAAACACCTCACACTTTTTTGCCTTGGTCTGCACTTCTTAAGGAGAAATTTTCACCAGCTTTCCTGAATTTTTTCATTATTTCCAATAGTAGACCAACCCTAATCTGCCAAATATTCTATGTGCTTGAACGATATAAGCCATGTCCCCGCTCTACTCCATTTCACATAAGTCCGACCTCAGCCAAAGCTACAATCCAATGGAGCCAATCAAGCAGTGCCAAAAAATGCATCGTCATGGCGCTTGTCGTCTTTTTGCGTTTACCATCTCGCACTAAACCAATCACGCACAATAAAAAAGAACGCAGGTTTACTTTGCATTGTACTGTATGTGACTTTGTCGAACCGACATCGCCATCCGAATGAAAATAAACAGTCATTTCGGCGATTCGCAAAATCTTTAGCGATGCGGGTTGCTCGCATGCTCCGTCATTAGAAACTGCTTTTAGACGCTGAAGCTTCAAAGGGGTTGCTAACGATGTGTTTTCGTCGTGTCTGGTAAGAGTCTTTTTGTCCGCACTGTAGGTCGAGGCCATCGGACGACGTCAATTTTCTCCCCTTAACTTCCGAAGCCCCGAGTATGTAAACGCGCACTAGACAAGAATACTATTTCCAGACCCGCGTATTTATGAATCTATACGCAGTGTGATGCAAACGTCACGACTTACTTTCTACCGATGCTGGACACGTACAACTCGTGAAATACGTAAATGCACACTGGGCTTGAGCGTGCAGAGTCAGACATTTCACTCGTGTAAGTTCAGCCCCGTCTCCCCCCAAAATAGACCTGTTTAAACAGCTACTGGCCCCAGGAAACTACGAGGTGACCAATGAGTTGCCTCCGTAGTGATATATACGTTACAAAATAAACATTTTGATGTGTACAGTCACCGCTGCTGCTGTATAATTTAGAATGTTTTTGAACTAGCGTCCATAACAACAGGGTTCTGAAAGCTGCACTAAAGGCATTTCTGAGATTGTCTGTTTTTGGTAATATCTTACGGGCTCCAAGGATCCTAGAAATTCAAAAATTATGCTTGTGTGACCTCTATTTCCCTACTAAAATGTGATCGAAGTTCGTGCCACGCCCCTTTCTGAGCGAAAAAAATCTGGAACACAGAATTCAGAGGAGGCGTTGGCGGCGTGACGACAGGCGCGCGTCAGCCAATCGCAAGCCTCATTTCCGAGAGAGGCGGCTTGCGATTGGTTGACGCGCGCCCGTCGTCACGCCAACGGCGCATCCGCTGGATTCCGTGCTGGAGATTTTTTTTTCGCTCAGAAAGGGGCGTGGCACGAACTTCGATCACAATTTAGTAGGGAAATAGGCGTCACACAAGCATAATCTTTGGATTTTCAGGGTGCTTGGACCCCGTAAGATAAGTTATCACCAAGAACATACGATCTCAGAAACGTCTTTTGTCCACCCTTAAAGGGGCCTTGGAATGATTTTTATACTTCTTCCTTCTTATACCTCTGTCAGACGGGCACCTAAAAGGACCTTTCCGCCAAAGGCCTTTAGGATTTTCAAATTACCTTTACGTTCTGCCGTGCAAGGCAGAGCAAGTAAATGTCATTTAGACGATGTTTACAGCGATTGAAATCTCGTGGCTTGGTTCAAACGTATAAATCACGTTCACGCCAGAAAAATAATATTTTGGTGATATAAATATTTTTTTAAGCAGACAATATATTAAAGAAGACAGAATAACAAGTTCAGTCAAGTGGTGACAACAAACTTCACTTTAAGCCCAATGAAAGTGTTTTTTTTTTGTTGTTGTTGTTGTTGCAATTAGCGGCAACCCTGGGTGTCTCCCACTCACGCAGTCCTAACGTCGCTCAGTGCTCCCGATCGTTTCCGTGCTTCTGGTACGCATTCGCCCTGCCCGGTTCGGCGTCGTGCTCGCACTTGAGGTTCATCGCACGCGTCGGAGGTCCTCTAACCGATCCTTCCAAAGTCGTATCAGCGCCCAGGTCGCCTCAACTCTCCAATGGAAGCGCGGCGACCCCTTCCTACTCGTGGACGCTCCTCCGTCGCTCGACGTATCGCACGACGCGAGAGTGAGATGCAGAAATATAGATGTACAAAAACATTCAATATATACAGTACGGATAGTAATACACTATTAAAGAATGATAAAATATAAAGTAGAAAAATAAAAGCTAGATAACCATGGTTGTAAGGGAAATCGAGAGGAAGAAAACCGAAATGCCGAAGCGGACGATGCGAGCAGGTGACGACGAGGCCTACTAGATAATTGGGGCCGTGAGTACAGAAAACTATTTGTAGAGCGAGGTTTGTACAAAATATACGTGAAAAAGGCTCTTTTTTAATAATAAAAATGCAAAAGCGTCGATTTTCGATATGGGTACGATATTTTATTTCAATTCGCTTCTCTAGTGTAGACCGCTGCTGACGAGAGTAACCCTTTAGCAGCCGTAAAGGAGCTGCAGGAACTCAGGTTCACGAAAAAAAAAAAGCTTTTACGATAAATGCCATTTGAGTTGCCGTGTGGCACTGCCTAAATGACATTTACACTCAATGTCCTTTGGCGTAAAAGCCCTTTTAGGTGCCCGTCTGTCAGGGGTATTAGCTTGCCTTCTCAACTCAGAAATCGCGCAGAATTACCAAATGTGCAGGGGCCAGAGTATACCAAAGGCACTGTTACACTGAAGCAACACAACGCCAACCTCAACACAACACGTTGTCCAACAGTCGGGCAACTTGTTGCTCGCTCCCCGTGTTGTCTGACAAACCTGTCATATCGCGGCAACAGCAGCACATCATGGACGACAACTAAAATGTTGCCTCGGTATGACAGCTTTCGGCAACAAAAACAGCAGCAACTTGAGTTGGACAAAGTGTGTTGCCCCGATCGCCGGCTGAGTAAATTTTGGGCCGGCAACACGACAATACAGATAGCTTCGATGGCAGAGCTAGTTCCGTATCAATAACGTCTTACTCAAATGAAGGCTTGAAAAACATTATTTAACAATAATTAAGGCTGGCGTGCAGCTAAAATAATTTGGTAACTTTTTTTTTTTTCACTGCGTAATTACGGAAAGTGTTGTCAAAATGGTCACAGCTACGGTCGTGAATATTCAGACTAATGTTGAAATTAGGACTGCCGAGAGGCCAGCTCTCACTACTGCTGGTGAAATAAAATGGCAGGCCTGTTCACCCGTTGATAAAGTAGAATAAAAAAATTCCAGGAAAGCAAATATTAAAGAATTGAAGCATTAAAACGACCACTCGGATTACGATTGTTGATACTTGGAACTTGGAAGCAGCCGCTACCAGACACCTGATTTGTTTTAAAAATACCGTGGACATTTTGGGAAATGAAGCGATCACATTGCAGGCGGTAGGCAGAGAGACAGAGTTGAAATATATTCATTCCACCGATGGTTATGAAGCCGGTCGTGTCAGTGTCGCAGTTTTTAAGCACCGTCAGTTAAGCTCAACATTACGCTACCCAAGACGCTTTTTTGTTCGGCCGGCGTTAACTCAATTTTACAGTAGAAATAGGAATTGCTTGAAAGAAAGAACCGAACACAAACATTTCATACGGTAACGTAAATCATGATCATATATCAGAGATCTCACTTTCCTCGGTTAGGGCTATTTGCTTTGTGAGCGAATGAAGAACATTTTGATAAAATAAAGGGTGGAAAATACTCCCCGTGTCCAATTTTTTAATCACAGTCACTGGTTGATGTTGTCCCGTGGTAATTTCCGGCCCTTCAAACCGACTAGCACTTTGTAGAGTCACATTTCCAATGACTCCGCGCCGCACACAAACGAAGGTAAACAATCCAGATGGCGGAGTGTTCCCCGTGTTGTCCCCGCTGTCAGCGCGGTGTGACAGGGTAGTCGGACAACAAATCGGGCAACGTGGTTGCCGGGTTGCAGCAACATGTTGCCCGACTGTTGTTGTTGCCGCGATGTGACAGGGTCACCGGCAACATGATTTCCTTGTGTTGCCGGATAGAGTTGTCAAACCGTTGCCTCAGTGTAACAGGGCCTAAACGGTCCAAAAGGAGAGAAAGGAGGAACTCCCTTTGTGTACCCGCACGGTGCCATCCTCCCCCTAGAAGATAAGCCCGTCACTCAAAATTCGTACAAGAGTTGCTTCCTTCCCCCCTCTCCCACCCGTGGCTTCCGCAGTACTGCACGGAACTATCCTTCGTTTAGCCCTAAGGAAAACAGTGCTGTGGAAGCTACGTGCTCGTTGGGCCAGTGAAACTTCTATCTTTCCCCACTTGATCACGCTCCCTCGCGCATAGCCACGTGCAGAGAATGGGGTTAGGTGATGAAAGGGAGGCGGCTGATTTGTTCAGCAAGCGCGTAGCTCCCACCGCTCTGTCAGCTTAGGGGTGAACGGAGTATAGTGAGATATTGTAGTGGCGCAGTGCTCGTATTCTTTGGGTACCACGGATGTATCACAGTGAAAATGCAGAGAGCTTTCGAAGGACATGAGGTACGAAAGAGTCCGCTATGTTTTCAAACGTTTTTACCGAAAAGCAGGCTTTTTACTTTCTACCTTCTGTCTTTTGGCTCCCTAAACAATATGCAATTAGTAAAATCCGAATCTAAGTTAATTTATCCCAGCCCCGAAATTCATTTCATGGCCCCTTTAGGTATTGTTTGCTGGTAGTATTGTGTCTATTGAAAAATGGTGTTATTGAAACGTAAAACTCAGTTTTGATATGAAGGTAATACAATTCGTTGCCTTGAATGGTATCTTTGTTTGTATCCTTGATCTAGTGCGAAGTGGAGCCCAGCGGGAGTGAAGAAGTGACCCATGATGGAATTCAGAGGGGAGGCTTTTTCATCCGTGTCTAGCCCAGACATCCTGACATGGACACATCCAAACAACTTCTCACAGACGCTCGAACGTATCCTTCATACATATGCGTCATCTGTCGAAGGCAACAGCTCCTTCTCTTCCGGTGGTTCCCCAAAAAACCAATCAAGATCCGATGATACAGTGCTTGGACCCCGCTACCACAGCCATGTCCGCATCTTCATCATCGTCATCATGATCGCTTTTTCAACTGCGGGGAACAGCGTCGTCTGCTGGAAACTCCTGACGCGTCGCCGCCGGAGGTGTTTGTCCAAAGCCCAAGTGCTCTTCTTGAACCTGGCCGTCGCAGACCTCCTGGTGACCCTGGTCACTATGACATCGCAGATGGTGTGGGAGATCATGGGGAGGATTTGGGTTGCTGGTGACGCCTTCTGTCGAATGTTCAAGGTTCTTCAGACGTTCGCGCTGGCGTCGTCCACCTACGTCATTGTCAGCATCGCTCTCGACCGCCATTCTGCCATCGTGTCGCCGCTGGCCAAGTGCCCCGGACCTTGGAAGTTGGCCACAGCGGCCTGGGTGGCGGCGCTGATGCCCTCTTTGCCGAACATCTATGTGTTTCGGTTGGTGGAAGCGAATTCGGGTGCGCATTATTGCGCGTCCATATTCTACGTAGGGGAGACACCGCTGCTCTACAGACAGTTTTACATGGGAACCGTGTTTATGAGCGTGTTCATCTTGCCTTTGGTGCTTCTTTTTGTACTCTATGGCCGTATACTCTGGGTGATCTGGAGGCAAAGTTCTGCTTTCAATTTACGGGAGCGGACGTCATCTTCGTTACCCAAGGCCAAGGTATCAACTCCTTATTTTGAATTGAAATTCTCGAGATTTTGTTGCTCGCTCATTATTACAAATGTCTTTATAAACATCTTGGAATTAACTTTTACGCTCGTACAGACGTCATAGGACGAGGTCAGCGAGAATTAATCAACTAAACTTTCATCGCAAGTTTATTTCTCAAATAGACATCACAAAAAATAGCAAGCCCTGATATACAGATGTCCAACAATAATTATATTGATCAACAAATAACTGGTATTGTTCCCTATCATTTGTGCCAAAAAATGTAGCACTCATGCGGCACGACCAAATTCACCCCTCACAGCGGAGACAACCATTTAAAAAGGCTATGACCACTTTGGATGGCAAAAAAACAAAAACAAAAAACAAAAAACGTCTTAATAGCTTAAAAGAAATATAAACACACATACTCCCAAGTACGTTTGCTAACATATTGCTTGTAATTTTGGAGATTCAAGGGTAAGCTGCTATAGTTACAACTGAATTATATATATTTATATAATGAGCAAGCACATAATGCACGTGCTGCTCACTTTTCTTCTACAATATAAATGTTAAGAAGGTGACAATTTTAGTCCGCGTATGCAGCATTATAAAATTGGTTAGAGCAGAGGCGTACTTTGCTATACACATTTCTGTAGAGTTACATGTGGGTGGCCAAAGCAATGGGAGGGGGGTGATAGAAGAGAGCCGTGGCTTGACCACTCGTCCCATATGTGTTGTTTTGTGGCAGCTGGAGATACGTCCACGGACCCATTCCGCGTTACGATGGCGGGCGCGCAGGAAGTGAATGCCCGTGGCTCGGAGTCCCGCAGAACTTTGAAGCAATCTAGCAGCCACCCGCACCGTCATCTCTGAATGGCATATGCAGAATTGCTTGCGAAACAAGCCGACAGAAAAAACCTGGGCGCTCTAAAGGCAACCTGCAATTCTGCTTTGTTTGTCGCCATCTAGCGACTAAATCAAGTACCATTTAGTACGCCTGAAAGTGGCGGCTGCATTGTCAAAACATGAGCTATCACTTTGGTGGCGTCGCTTAACCTATGTGTCCGAAGCATGAAATGCTGGGTAGGCCAGGAAGCCGCGGGCCCATAGCATGCCGGTACGGAGCAAGCTACGGCATCTGCGGGCCAATCGGAACAACGGAGGAAGGCACGGGACCGCGTATCGCCAAAGTTAGCTTTTTACTACGAAAAAAAAAAAAAGAGTCAGGGTTTTTGTTGCGTCCCGGTTCAATCGGTGTTTACGAGCGCAACGCTCGTAAACGTAGCGCATATCGAAGCCGTCGGAATGCACCACTGTTCGGCGTAGCGTTCACCGTTTGCCACGTTACAGCGAGACAGGGTATAACTGCGGGCTCTCACTCTGTTGGCGCCGCCTGGCCGATGGCGGCTGGCTACTGGGTAACAGGCTGAAGTTGAGCTAGTTGGTACATAACTCAAAAGTAAACGGTCAGCTAGACGATAGGGACAAAACACAGACAGGGAGAAACAGAAACAGAGACATCATCTAGCTGACCGTTTACTTTTGGCTATTGGGCCATATCAAACACATGATATGAAGTTTTTTCGGTAAGAATCTCACACGGATGAAAGGAGACGACGGCGCCTTCGTGGCGGACGCGATAGCATGTTCGCCGCGTCATTGGTGTACCGCGGTGCGAGGAGGAGAAATGCGTCGCTGCCCATCAGAGCTCGCAGGTTCTTTTGTTTTCTTATTTCCGCGTTCAAAATAACTTCAAAACTATTTGGACGTGCGTGACGTATAATTTCCGTGAGCAAGTTTTCGTGACACTCCGTGAGCAAGTTTTCGTGACACACCGTGAGCAATTTTTCGTGACATCGACTTCCCAACTTTGAACCCCCTTCCAATTTTATTTTGGAACCGCGAGCGACCTCAAACTCTATTGTTTGTAGCATTGGCTGCAGTTTCAGCTTAATAAAGGTGAACGGAATATACACGAACTGAACTTTGTTACGTCAGGCCGCGGTGGCGGCGCGTCGGTCGCTCTTCCGGTCTTGGGCTTTGGGCGGAAGTCACCGTGCGAGACATGCATTCCTGTGTTCTTTTAGAAGAAACCACACACAAAAACCTGCCTGCTCGTCAAAACGCCGCGACGGGGGCTGCACCAAAAGAGTCTGGAAAGGTTTTAAGATCAGTTTTCATGTTTTCTGCCCCCTCCGTTCGTCCGAGACCCTGGTTAGTAGCCGCGAAAAGGCCAAACCAGACGCTGTCGAGCTACGATTGCTTGTACGGGAAACACTTTGAGTTGAATTCGCGGATGTTTCTGGTCCCCCCTCAGATTTATTTGTTTCTTTCCAACATGAACGAGGGAAAACCGCAAAGTTGTCCGGACTGTCCGCGGGCTCAGTGTCTCTTCAAATTCAAACGGCCGCCTGATCGTTCGAAATGTCGTCTACTCTTTCAAACCTCTCTGCTTTTTGTCGTCTGTTCGTTCAATCAAAAGCGGCCCGTAGACCAAACGTGGACCCGGTGATTGCGATAAGAAGTAATTGCAGGCCTCAAAAGACTTTTAAGTAGGCTCGGTGTAAGCAGTATATACAAGATGTTGAACATTGGCATCAGCGGCCATCACCGACTTAATACGCCTGATTCACTTGGTCTGTTTCCGCTACCGATTTTCAGTATCGACGTCGATCATCACCGCTACCGTATACACTTCTGCAGTAGGAGTGACGTCGCGACGTCGCGACCGAGAAAGCGGGAAGAATCTCATCGTGGTGTTGGCGTTCATTCGGCGGCGTTCACGCAAATGAATCGTTGCACGTCAAATTATTTACACAAAGTTTTTCGGCGTAACGAGCCTTGATAAATTCGTTCAGACGACTAAAGTGGTAAGACATTGCTACGAAGACGTAGAATCGACAATTCCAATACGAAAGAAAGTACGGAGACTCACAAAGACGCTGACAACGTGACATTCGAATGGTTTGTTAACGCGGGAAGCGGTGCTTCTTGCCTACACTCCATTCCGCATGCGTTCGAACTGTCGTCTGCTCTATCAAACTTCTCTGCTTTTTGTAGGCTCCTCGTTGAAACAACAGTAGCCCGTAGGCCAAACATTGAGCCGGTAACTGAGATAAAAGTAAGTGCAGGTCTTAAGAAAAATTTAAGTTTGAAGGGGAGTTGGGGTAAGTAGGCTCAATGTAAACAGTTGATACAAAATGATGTTTATCATTGTTACCACTGGCCATCACCGACTTGTAATGCGCAATTCCGCTTGCGATTTTCAGTGTCAACGTTGATCATCTCAGCTATGGTTTATGCTTTTGCACTCCGAGCAACGTCGCGACTGAAAATAGCGAGCAGAATCTCATCGTCTGAGTCAGGCTTTAGCACCCATTCTGCGGCGCCCACGCGGAATGAATCGCCGCACGTCAGATTATTAACGCGAAGGTTTGCGGTGGTAACGAGCCTCTTTAAGTTTTCTGAAGCCCCTTAAGTAGTCAGGCATTGATAGGAAGACGTAGCATAAACAATTCCAACGTGAAAAAGAGCACAGAGACTCACACTGGCGCCGACAGCATCGCCTTCCAATGGTTTGTTTATGGGGGACGGCGAGCTTCTTGCCCACACTCCATCGCGCTGCGCGGCGCCGGTGGCGTTCGCTGGGGGCGCTCCGGTTTGTTTGCAAACATGAGTTGGTCTATATATGTGAACGTTGTAGCTAATTTTGTTCTGGTGAACTAAAAATTCTGGTGATCTAAAGAGAAGTCGCGGTTGTTGCCAAGGATCATTGTGTTACTTTGCACAGCCGTCAATTTCACACCGAAGCATGCACGTAGTAATATATTTTTCATGCGAAAGCATTATATGCCCCATTACGGTGAAATTCAGCGGCGTCGGCGGCGTGATCGAGCGATGCTACCAAAAAGGACCGACGGCGCAAAACAAAAAAATAAAACAACATCCAGGGATTATTTTAATCATTCTTGTCCAGCTCGCTTGCACCTTTGCATTTAATTGCATTATAATTATAACCTTAAATTGCAAGCTTCACCCTTGTTGGTGTTAGACTGGTGGCGGCTGATAAAACCCGTTTGCTCTACTGACGTCTAACCCCTGGTTAGCTCAGTTGGTAGAGCGCTCCACCTGTAATGGAGAGGTCCCGGGTTCGATACCCGGACCAGGCGGATTTTTTCGGTCGCGCACCAGTCACGTAGCTGTGTTTGGAGATTTCTGTTTGTCCTTTGTCCCTCTTGTTCCCCTTCTGCAGGGATTATTTTCATCATTCTTGAAAAATGCTCGGATTGACGTCAAATTTCTGAAGGAGGTTTCTGTAAATAAAGTAAAGATATGGCTTCGTAAAGATAATTTTATACATTTCGGTCTGGGTATGAATCGAACCCGGGCCTTCGGGGTGCGAGGCGGACACGTTTCCCCGACGCCACGGCGGCTCCACTGCCCTGGATGACCAAAGGTGTGCCTAGCGCGTGCGTCATTGCACTGGGGCCAAAATATACGCGAACACACACACCAAAGCAGCAGAAAGAACTTTAATGCCTGTCGAGAACATCAATAGAAAATATTCCACCAAATGGACTATAATGCTTTCGCATTCCCACACGTAAGCAGTATTAAGTGTCTATGCCGAAATTTTTTTTCTAGTTATTTAATGAAAGATTTAGAATATGTACACCGAAAATAAAAGCTAAAAATTACAATAAGAAATTTTTATACAAAAAAAGCTGCGAAACAGGTGAAGAAATCATTTTATAGAGATTATTCACAAATTATTTAAAAACAAACTATTTTATATCAAAAGGCTAAAATTATATAAAAATTATTATATTTAAGTGCATTATACGATTATATAAAGATATGTGTAGCTATCGTTGTAGTTGTGTTACTGTCACACGAACCCAGCAAATGTTTCTAGACGTAGCAAAATTGCACGTAAACATAAACAAAACTCTATGTTTTTATTTATAGTTTCTTTACCAGTTTCCGGTGTCGTGAACTAAATTGTGGTGGCAAAAATTGAATAACATATGATCTCCCAAAGAGGAAAATTTCAACAAACCTTCGCTTAAATTGGGTAGTCAGCTGTCTCCGTTATAGGGACTTAGCCGCAATACTTCTTCTAATGAGACACTTCCAAGAACCGACGAAGGCTGTACAGATGTGCAGCTCTATCGTGGGGTGCAGAAAGTCATGTTTTTACTAGCTTAGCTCTACATTTATGTTTCCTTGCGTTGCGTCCTAAGACCCTCCCCACCCTCCCCCTTCAAAACGATATCAAACTGAGTGTTTTTTTCGGAGCGCAGTAAAATGTTGCTCGACTTAGATCTCAATTCTAGAATGTGGGTGGATTTAATAGATTTCTATGATGCCCATCATGTTTGCAATTGAACTAATACACTTATTATCTTCATTACACCGTTAAATACTAAAAATTAATTAATAACGTAATTACATTAACACTTCTCTTTTCCTAAATTTGTCCTTCAGCGGGGATCAATACCACATCAAGGTTTTTCTGACCGATGCGTATTTGTCTCAACGACTTGGCCCGGGTTTCGTGAAACCTCCCCTATACACTTAGTTGAGTGCTTTTCCCAAAAACATGACTGCCATATATAGTATATATTTTTCAGAAACATATAAAATATGACCCGGACTATCATTGAATGAACTGGCGTGGAAACACCAAACAACGAAACCCTTTGTGGTTATCAGCTTCTATCTGTATTTATTTGTATACGGTATGTATCGATACGTAGAAATAGTAAGCTGGTTTGTTTGCCATCACAATGCTGAACACCGAAGTATCGACTTTCCAGATACTACTTCCCTCGCCCTGTTTCCGCGGTGATGTTAGCCTGAGACTGAGGCAGGAAAAGAGGAAGTTTCAAAGTAGAAGAAAAAGGAACAGTCGAGGATACGTATCCTCGACTGTTCCCTTTTCTTCTGAAGTAGAAGTAGAAGAAGAAACCTCCTTCAAAGTAGAAGAAAAAGGAACAGTCGAGGATACGTATCCTCGACTGTTCCTTTTTCTCCTACTTTGAAACTTCCTCTTTTCCTGCCTCAGTCTCAGGCTAACATCAGAATGGTTCATTTCCACCAGCTCGCCTGCGCACTCACTACAATATCTCTGCATATAGTTTGCAACTGGAGGCAGCGGTGGCGTCCACCGAAAGTTTTCCGCGAGGCTCAAAGCCGAAGAAAAGCTCGCTCAATTTGAGTGGAAGCTTGTCGTCGGTTTCTCTTTAGGAGGTTATATACTACTCAATGTTCGGCTATCGCAAGTTAGTTCAAGGGTTCAAGACACAAAAAACAGTTAAAGAAAGTAAAAAAAAGAAGAAAAAGCTTTTTAATATAATGATATGAAATTTTTACACATTTAGAGAAATTAGTTGCGTTTCTGCATTAATAACACAACTGCAATCATTGCTAAGCATGTATGTTTCTATATATTCGTAAAATGCATTTAAATACGCGCACTTCATAATTTAGGCCATTTTATATGAAATTGTTTGTTGGTAAATATTTTGTAAATGTGTCCGTCAGACGTCTTAGGTGACGTGTTTTGTGGGCTTCTTTAGCATCAAAATTTTGTATCGTAATTCCTAATATTTTGCGTACATGTTTTAAACTTTTTATGAATAAAATACAAAAAGTAATACGTGCAAGATTTTGTGGGAATTGACGGCTGTGAAAATGACCATAGTGAAACCTTGTCAACCTCCCCTCCTCGAGCTTCGAAATGTCATATATCCAGAACAAACTTAACTACAACAATGACACTTAGCGAAATTCCACCGCAAGAACATGGGGTTCACACATTCTTTAAAATAAAAAAGAGCCCTAACCATTGTTGTCTGGCCTGACGTCGAAACACACTACTATAAAAGCTTGCCCTAGAATTCCTAGGAACACAGGGGATATGTTAGCTTTTAGATTTATTCTGATAAATGAAAAACCGTATTCTGCCCATTCAAAATGGCCGCCGTAAGACCGGAGCCTTAAATGATTCGACCACTAAGCGCGAACTTATATTTTGTGGCTGAGCTGTCTTACATGCCGGTTCATTTGCAGATCAAGACCCTCAGGATGACCGTGCTTGTCTTCGGGGCCTTCATCGTGACGAACGTTCCCTACATGGTCCAGGAGATGGTACTGGCCTTCTCCGGATCCTCGGGTGCCCTCAGCAGCAGCATCGTGGCGCTCTTCGGCGTGATCTCGGCTTCCAACAGCGCCATCAACCCATACATCTACATCTTGTTCCATACAAGGAAATAGAAGCGAATCGTGTCGCTTTTCCCCGACGGCGTCGCCGGACAGAGCGCCCGGCAGGGACAGCTGGAAAGCTGTCTTGACCACGGAATGTCGTCTTATCAAAGCCTGTCGCGCCAGACACTGTCCACCTGAGACGCAGACTCAATTCCCTGCAACAGCCAACCTTGGAGCACTGATGGCGTGAACGAAAGGGAGCCTCTGCACACCTTTTCTACAGGGGCGCCGCCATCTTGAATGTCGTCACTTCCAGTATGGACGAAAACATTACTTTGTCCTCAAGCCAATAGAAGAAATTAAGATTATTAGCGTGGCCGTCACCCACTCGTTTTGCCTCACCTTTAGTTCTTTACTATTTCCAGGTTGAAAATGTTTCATTCTTTTTTCCTCGCCCACACCGGACGTGTCCACCGGGTGGCTGGGTACGAAAGTAAAAAGAACATGTCTATATACCCCCGAGCGCATCAGACGTCACACTGCGGCGGTGACGCTGCAGTCGGCTTTGTGCACACGCAGACGGTTTTCTTTTGTGGACAAACGCCGGCTTGTTTGCAAAAAGAACGTTGGTCGATATGCAGTATTCCCTGGAGGCCATAGCGGAGTCCGCGACCGGCGGGCGCTGCTGGCGGCGAGCTGCCACGGTTCTTTTGCGACGTACATAACGCACTATCGACATTTCCTGTTATACGAGACTATAAATACGAGCTCGTACTAAGCATGTTCCACGAATAGCGCAGTCAAATATGGCATCCAGTGACGCCATATTTGAGTGTAGCAGCCTGGACCTCTTTAACGAGTTTTGCTTCGACGAGTTCCCCTATGACGAATGGACCTTTTGTAGAAACATCGGTTCGAGAGTAAATGGTTCTAGTACCCTCTCTCTCTTCCATCTTGCCGAGCAGAGAGGGAGGATGGTTTTTTTGTGTCGACTTCTGGGCAGAAGATAACCCACGATGGGGACAAAGGCAAGTTTGGGGGAGCCGTATCTCGGTCAGAGCGGCTCAATGGGAGAACAGGATGTGGCTGATAATTTGGGTGTCGAACTGGTGCGAGAGTTCTTGCGCGCGCGTTGTTTTCTAGCCAGTTAGTCTCGAACCCAGCCGCGTGTCTAGGTGGCAGCACATATTCGCCAAAAGGTTCATTGGCCTACTCGACGAATGGGCCGCCAACGAGTTGGGCGTCGACGACTTGGCGATCAACGAACCCCTTCCTCGCTTCCTAATGGCGTCCTTTATGTCCGCAAGTTTTTCACTACGGAATTATTTAACCAAGCCTTCAACAGGGGAACGGTAAACCCAAAAGTGGTAAATTAAGATGATGAGTGATTTGTTATCCGGGTTTTGTAATCAATAACAGAGAGTACGAAAAGCGTTTTGAAAATGACACAAAAATCGGCCGTTTTGAAACTCTGAAGTATTCGGAAAAGTATGCCGGTTACTTTTTCAACATAGTGTAATACGCCAAAACAAGGACGAAAACGAAGGAAGAACTGGACAGGACGCTGCTTAACTTTCAACTGAATGGTTTATTTGGATGACACAGCGGTTCTAAAAATATAAAAGCAGCACACTTGCCAGAGCACAAAGATATGGTCTAAAAACACGCCTCCCTCAAATGCCAGCGTCATTGGTTCTTGAAATAGTAGAATTCTTTATCAGACAAGGACAAGGAGGGTGCGCTTACACTAGAATTGTCGTGGTGGGACTTAATCAGAAAGGCTTCGTGAATTTCTCTGGCTGTTTTTGTTTTGTAATGGCCCATGACACAGCTGTCACCAAAGATGGGGCTGCACTTTCCAGAGTTGGGCCCGCAATCGCAACGGTCACAGCGGACCGCTAGGTGGCCAGACGTGGACGGCCTCATCACCAACGAATGCTCTCTGACCCTATCATTGATGCACTTCCCCGTCTGGCCAACGTACATCTTACCGCATGACAGGGGAATTTTGTACGTGACACCAGTGACACACTGGCGGAACTTAGTGACATGTTTTTTGCAGGACTCTTGCGGCACAACCGATTCATCTCCCAACCTGCTTATCCTTTTACACAGCGAAGGTAGTTTGTTCGGTGCAGAATAAATGATTGGCATGTCAAAGCGATGGGCCACCTTCTTCATTTTGTGGGACATCTTGTGAGTGTAAGCCGAGACAGCAGCCCTACCTACCCTCGTCGGAGCCCTTTCGCACACTGTGCTGTTGTCTTTTTTTCTTTTTTTTTGTTAAGGTATCGGAAACATGTTAAGGTCTCGGAAACAAGAACATGCCGGGGGTGCCCTGCCTCTTCAAGTCTGCTGAGCTGAGAATAAAAACTGTTTTTCATCAGGTGTGAACAAGATTTTCTTAGCGCGGCCCTTAGGCAAGACGAAGCAATGCCCCTCTTCACCAACTTGCAGTGCGCCGAGCTGAACGGCAACATTACGTCTTGGAACGGGGCTCATACGCCCAGCAGGCATGCTTCGCACAGAAATAAACCCAAGATCGAAAAACTGCAGCCGACCACATACCGATGTCTCGTGGATGAATTTTAAGCCAAAACCACAGCTTGCGAACAGATTTAAAAAACCCGCGATCGCTTGATCATCCGCAATTACTTGGCGGGACACACTCACCGAATAATAATCTACGTAACGAAAAACGTTTACATGTTTCCTCTGTTGCATTTTTTACAGATATACGCTTGTCGGTGATTTGCAATCCCTTCGTTTTCGTCCTTGTTGTTTTGGCGTATTGCACCATGATGCACAACCAATTAGCCCAACTAGCCATCCTTACTTTTTTTAAGTAACTCCCTTTCCTCTCAAGTAATCCAGTTGTATGCTTTTTAACCAAGACTGGCTTTAATTGTAATCAAATATATATTTTTTTATTATTAACATGTACAAGATTGCACATGCTTGAGTCCTGACTGCAGGCAATTCGGTCACCATGGCTGTTGCGACCACCGTGCCTTTTGTATACAGGGTATGATCACTGTGTACTGCGGTTTTAGGAAATCCCATAACAGCACCTTCTAGATTGGTAAGCCGTGGCTGGGGCAGTGGCCTAGCCAGGGCAAAATCCCCCCCCCCCCCCCTCCCCCCCCCCCCCTTCCCCCAATAATGAAGCAGGGTGAGGTCGGCGGTACAGACGCTCACGCAAAGATGAGTGAGGCGCTGTTCAGATAAAACGGGTAAAGCTTTATTGTCATGTTTTAAAACGTAGCAGGCTTCATTTACAATAATACAGGCGTGGTGGCTCACTGCTCTACTGTCGTCGTAGTTGCGGCCCACCAACTTTAGAAGCTTCCTCACAGCACATAAGTCCCCCCGCTTTTTGAGGTAGCACTGCATTACCAATGCGTGAAAACGACACCATTGACACAAGGATAGCTATGAACCAGTGTCTGTTCTGTTCCATGGGCGCCGCCATGTTTGTTTATGCTGACGCAATGGCACAGTAAAAAAAAAAGGGGGGGGGGGGTGCGCTTTTTGCGAGGCTCCGTTTTTTTTTAGAAACCTTCGCTCATATCGTAGTGCAAGGATGTTGGAAAGGCATATTCACGAAGCTCCAAGATCAACTCCAATGCCAAGAGTGCTGTAACGAGCAAAAACCTCATTTTATGCGCAGCCCCTCTCTTCACAAGAGCCTGCGCTTGAGATTATTATTTCACATTTTTATTGCTGGGGGCTAGGATTTTGGATACTGGCCTATAGGCAACCTGCAGTGGTGTTTGGTTTGACGCTACCTAGTGACTGAAGCAAGTAACATTGGATAAGCCTGGGAGTGGCAGCTGCATTGTTCAAACGTGAGCTATTACTCTAGTGGCTCCTCTATAGCCTAGTGTCTGAAGCAAGAAATACTGGGTAGGCTAGGAAGCCGTGATCGCATAACATGCTAGTACGGCGGAAGCTGCGGCCTGGCGGGCCAATCGGAACGTGACTACATATCACCAGAGTACGTTTTTACTGCAAATAAGTATCAGGCTTTTCGCTGCGTCGTGCTCCAATATGTGTGCGTTGCGCTTGTATACGTAGCGTATATCAAAACCGTCAACACTCAATGTGGGGCCTATTGTTCACCCTTTGCCAGGTTATACCGAGGCAGAATATAACCCTGGGCTCTCACTACTGGCGCCGCCTGGCTGTTACCGGCAGGCTATACTGTCACAAGAAATTAAGCAGAAAAACAATCTCGACGCTGAAAAATCAGAGCAACCATTCTCGCACAAATACCAAGGGCCCATATATAGGGCGAGGGTAATTCTGAACAATCACAAAGTCAAAATCTATTTTCTATTAAAGGTTTAACAAATTCGTGCTACAGAACAAGGTGCCGAAGGTCAGAGTCTTATTTTTTCTAGGCCGCTTTATCTTGGAGTGTGGTCCAAAGGAAGCAGTAACATATCCTCGGGGCGATGAGAAGTCGTCAGTCCGTACTCATCGTTCCGTCACTCTGAGAAATGACATCACACACCACACACAAACACGCAAACCACACGCCGAACATGAAAACGAACTTGAATACCCTTGCGATGCGTAGTGAGAATATGAAGGCTCTTCAGAGTTTCTGATGTTCCGTGCAACGAAAGGAATAATCTAATAACGAATTGCACCGTATATGCCACCTCGACATGCAAAGCAGAAAGCAAGACGGACTTCATCGTATCCGTGAGCGACCCTCGAGATGGGCGTCTCGATGGAGGGAAATTTCACGAAGTGAGGGAAATTTCGCCGAAAATAGGGACATATAGGCGTCCAGAGAAAAAGGGAGGAACGTGAAACGCCCGTCATGTCTGCGCTACAGGCGGTTGCCCTCTCTCCGGAGGCCCTATTCCCAAACCTCTATCGTCTCCTCAAGGTCCTAGAGACTCTGCGCGTAACAACGGCGGAAGCTGAGCGCTCGTTCTCTTCATTATGACGGTTGAAAACATACCTGAGAGTGTCCACTTCGAATGAGCGACTGCTCGGTCTGGTGCTTTTGAATGTTCACCGTGACATTGAAGTTCAAGCGATGGACATCGTGGATATTCTTTGCCGTGAACGCAGGCGGCTGCATCTTAAGATGCAGGCGCTTGGCATAAATGAAATGATCAAGAGAGCCTGTAAATTTCTTTCTGAAGTAAGTAGTCACACTTACTTTTGTATTCGCGGTAATTTCTGGTCGAAAGCACGCAATTCTGATCAGTACAAAAGGTGTGCGGGAGCGCAGCGGCACCCGTTGCTTACAGTGCAATTGTTTTTACTATTAATTTAATATTCCTTACATCACTGACATTTTTTTATATCATCACCATGTATGCGTTTTATTATGTCGACTTTAGTTTGATTTCACTATTTCAGTGGGGATAGTTCGTTGTACTTTGCCTTGAAATTGCCGTCCCTCACCCCACAAATGTTTCGAAATTTCCGTTATCTATATATCTGAGATC